CTCTCCTAACCCTGGCCTTTGGCGTTTTTATGGAGACTGTATTATGTAGTCAAGGGTGATTAAATCATTGGCCATTGACCATTAGATTCAACTTCCAGCTCCCTTCCCATGGAGGATATGGTTGGGATCATATCCTGATCATATGGTTGGGATTCCTGGTAACCAGCCCTGAACCTGGGGGTTATCCAGAAGTCACCTTATTAACATAACAAGGATACCTTTTTTTCTCTCATCTTAGGAAATTCCAAGTGTTTATGGAGCTTTGTGCCAGAAACAGGTATGAAAAACAAACATGTATCTCTTACTATAAATCACAATATCACATTAATTCCACCAAGATGTCAGACACATAGCAATCTTAGACTCTCCAGAATAACCATCCACCAGTTAAGAGCCAATGAGTAACTTCTGTTCATGAAGCAGGGAGCAGAAGACTATCTCAGCCAAGCCCTGCCTGAATATCAGACTCACCAAATGAGATGTAATAAAAATAGTTATGGTTTTGAGCCACTAATTCTACAGTAGTTTTTTACACACCAGTAGAAAACCAGAACATGCAGGCAAATGTTACCAACAGAGGTAGGAAAACCTCTGTGGACCCATCTACAACCATAGCTATGTTCTCTTCCATAAAGTGCTGTGAGAATCCATGTAGTCTGTGCACTGGCCATGCAGGAATGATTTACTGTCTATGGAAGTGTTTATTTAAATGCTAAGTGACCCTAGCACATTTAGGTACTTCTTTTCACATCATTAACCATTTGACAGGGATGCTTGGAGTACAGAAGATTAAAAGCTTCTACCCACAGAGGAGGAATCAGACATTAAAATATTTCTGAAATTGTCATGTGAGTTGGTGAGTAAACTTATTTTTTTCTACATGGAATTTCAAAAATATCTTGTTGAAATAGAGAGCTAAAGACTGTTGTCAATGCTATGTTCTCTAAATATGGATTTGAAATGTTTTACCAGAATTTCTAGGCATGAGTCCCAATAATGCTAATCTAATCTGTGGCATGGGCAGAGGTCACCATCTCAGGAAGGGGAGGAAGGGTGAAGAATTCTCTCTATTCTCTAAAAGCAGGGCTAGTCCTAGAAGAAATTTAGGAATATGTAGCTTTGTCTTCAGCCCCCTGGTACCTTGGAATCCCTTGTCCCCAGTTCCTGGGACCCTGAAGGATACTCCCTTGTGGCAGAATCATATCCATGCCTGCCCTCAACTCCAGCACCTCCCACTCCATGCTCCTAAAATTATTGGGTTGGCCAAAAAGTCCATTTAGTTTTTTCCATAAAATGAAAAACATATATTTCATTTTCACCAATAACTTCATTGATTGGATATTTTGAGTATGTTGGTTATCTCCCACATGGTATAACATTGATTATTCTCAATTAATGTCTCAATTTGATTGCTGTCAACTTCAACTGGTCTCCTGGACCATGGAGCACCATCCCACTAGAAATCTCCAGCAGAAAACTTTGCAAACCACTTTTGACATGTTCTTTCAGTCATAGCACCTTCTCCATACACCACACAAATCTTTTTTTTGCATTTCAGTTGCATGTTTACCTTTCTTGAAATAATAAAGCATAATATGCCAACAATTTTACATACTCTCTTCCATCTTCAATATTAAATGGCTACACAAAAATTCACCAATTTTAATTTTTTTAATGTACACTGATATGACAGCTGTCACAATACAATCTAACAAAATTGTTTTGAATGAAGTAAAAGACAGTAAATGCTACTAGAGCCATTTTATGGGAAAAAAAAAACAAATGAACTTTCTAGTCAACCCAATACTTATCCAATTTCTTCCTCTACTCACCCAGGGATCAAATTCTCAATGATGCATAAGTGGTTAATTGGCACTTTCTGCCTTTATTTACATTACTGAGATTCCGGGCTGCGTGGCTACATGGAGCAAAAATGACCAGGAGGACCAGCCAGTAGACAAATAGTTCTCTTTTGAATGTCTTCTGGCTTTTTAGTGGCTTTCCTCCTCCCCTTCTAAATCTGTAAATTATCTCTAGCACTTTGGAGGTGGCAGTAGAAGAGATTCCATGACAGAGAGTCTACAGGTAAACTCATCTATACTTGGGAAGTTTGTAAATTGAGAACTTCACATGTAATCTTCATTCCAAGGGTTAGGTCAATAGAGGGTAGTTCCAAGGACAGCATCTAATGCTTAACAATGGGCTCTCTTGGAGAAAGAGCCCTGATATGAAGCTTTTGCAAATCTCTCTGGTGTAAATGCTCCTACCATATCCAGTTTGAAGATACACAGACAAACAAGGGGCCACATGCTAAACTCAAGGAGCGCAAGGAGGCCTGTATAGCTGGCTTCACAAACTCAGATACCTAAAGTGACCACATAGGATGGTGTGAAATTAAAACTTCTTAACTAAAATCAAGTCATGGAAGGTAAGCCATGTCCTAGGCTAGTTGACAAAGGTCAATCTTTACTTTAAGCGAGCCTGCTTATCTATCTCTTTTGCATGCTCTTTCACATACCTGTGAAATGACAGAGTAATTCTCTTTTTTCCAGACCCCTCAGGGTATAACCTCCCACCAGATCAAGGGACCGTGGGACCCCTCATGGCTGTCTTGTTCCCCACAAACCATCTCTATGTGCTGTAAATATTCCTTGTTAACTATCCTCTACCCACCAATGTAAAAGAAATATTTGTCTCTCTGTTTTACTTTTTATCCAACTTCAGCAATGCCCTGCTTTGCTTTCTCCTACCTCCCTTATCTACCACCAGTGAATTTCATGTAACCATTTTTGTGTCTCTTCCATTGATTTCTAATGCACAAATTAAGGTACAATACTGCCATTCTCCAGAGTGTCTTCTTAATCCCTTGAGATTTTGCTTCCCAGCAACTGTCTGCCCCCCAAGTACTTTTCTCCCCACACCTGAAACCACTTGACTTCTAACTCATTACTAAGTGACAAGGACAATAGTGGTCCCTTTTCTGGACCCCATGTACACCATTTCCTTTCATGCACCCAAATCCCTGTACCTAGCGCTTGTCCATCCTCCAAGTAATTATAGGCCCTTGGTCCCCAGATACTGGTACCTCAGTACAACCCAATTTCTACAGCCAGAGTCCTGTTTCTTGCTAACTTGTATCCCCAAGTCTGATTCAAGCTGGGCTGTTTGGGGAAGGAAAAGAACTCTAACATGCCACAGTGTCCTTAATATTTCAGACAACCAGCCAATGTGGGAGGTGGACTCTGCCTTATAGGTGAAGACATTGAGGCCTAACCACAGTCCCAACATCATACAACTTCAAGGGCAAAGCCAAACAGTCTGTCTGACCTTAACACCTACCCCCCCCCTGTGATTTTTAAACTGTTCTCCAGGAACTTATAGCCAGAGCAGGTGATTTAAGGACACTATAAATATTTTATGCAAATATTATATATTAAGGTATCTTAACCATTTTTATAAAAATGTCCTAATTAAAGCAATATGTAGAGTCAATGTGTTTTATGACAAATATGAGCAAACTATGCTGCCAGGTTAGTGCACGTAGACCTCAAAACAAAATTTTCTTACTATCTTATATTGCTTTACAAATAAAGTTTCCTTGTTATCTCATTAATACATTTACACTTTTTATGTAGCAAATTGTCCACATGAACAGAAGTGGGCAAAGTCATTATATCAGAGCAAGTGCCAAGGTTTTGATATTTTTTACCAGTAAAGTAGACTGAAGCATCTCCACAGACTGGGGAAAATTGAACTTAAAAAGAGGAACCACTTTTTACATTCCTTATGTGTTTTGTGTTCTCACCACTTATGTTTCAGTTACACTCTTACTCTGCCTCCTTCAGTATCTTTTCATTGTTGTCTAAATAGTACTGCTCTTTTATTAAAATCACATGTCACAGCCTGGCAAATGTATTTATTTGTTTGTGGGTTTGTTCTATTTCCACAACTCTCCCCTCCCTCTTACCCTCCAAATGGAAGCTCTAAGAAGGAAGAGACTTTGTCGGGTTATCACTACATCTAAAGCACATAGACCATTGTCCAGAATGTGATAGGTGCTCAATAAGTTTTTTCTGAATGATTGAATAGATGAACAAATGAAGAGTGAAAATTAATTTCAGCACTTTGAAATTCTGAGTGACTATATGACAGAGACAGGTACAAAGATATATGAGAATTTTTTAAATGATACTGCTGAACATCTTATAATGTTATAACATAAATTTGAAAAATGTTTTCTACCATACAGTTGTGATTTTAAACTAACTGAAGAACTCATTCATCAATTCCCTCCAGCTGGTACATTTACTAATTAAGAAACACAGGCAGTTCTTAGACAAGGAGAGTTAATTCAACCTTGGGACAAAAATATTTTGCCACTTCTTTTTCAAACCACTGGATCAGCTGCATTTAAGAGTATATTAAGATCATAAACCAAGATTTCAGAAATTCATATGTGCAACTAATACCTGGATTTTTTATTCTGTGACCTAACAAAATGCAGACATAAATGGAATGTTGAGACTGATCTGAGACTGCAAATATTTTCTCCAAAAAAGCTGATGTCAAAGGCTGTATTAATCTTAAAAGTCTCATTTTTCTTACTACCTAATTTACAATGAGTAAATATTATACAACTGAAGTTATAAAGTCAGTTCATTCCAGTCAAACAAACCTTATTTGTTTTATAAGTCAGCATTCTTTTATCATCTGTGGAAGTAGAAAATTCCACAGCTAAAAGAAATTAAAATGTGAAAATAATGGCCCTATATCAGATAGTGTCCTTTCTCCTGAACTTCGGCCATCACCTACTCTAGGACACTCTGGATGATGTTTGGCAGTGGTTCCTCACCTGCTGAAACTTCTCACTGTGGTCCAGCTTTGTAGACAGGACCAGTTTCCAACATTTTGCTATGGTGCTAAGTCACCATGGTTAGAGCAAGATGAAGAGCACAAGTGTGAAGCTAGAGAGAGCTGAGTTTACCCATCTCTACACTTACCATTTTTGAGGAAACAACCCTTTCTCCAGTATCAGTTCCTTTATCTGACAGAATAACAATGTTATCAACAAAAGGCTGCTGCCACCAACCAAGGCCAACAGGAGTCTTCAATTGGGCCTGTGTTAAAAAGAGAAACTTCCTTCAGATGATCAGTTTCCAAACCTGAGAAATGCAGCCTCTAGTGGAAATCAAAAGCTAGTTCCCCTCAAACAAAGGGGAGGCCCACTTATATAAAGAAAGTGCCCATCCTGGTCCCTGACCAGCCCATTTTTATGCAAATGAAGAACACAAATTTGCACAGTTTGATTGGTCTACATAGCGCTGTCCTGATTGGTGGGGAATTTTGCATCCTGACTGTTCATTATGGGCCCATTCTGATTACTCAGTAAACATGCAAATGAGAATATAGTTGTGCAGCTTGAATAGTACAGGACAGGTCTCAGTCCACTGGTCAAAATATGATTCCGGAAACTCCTTTGTAAGGGTTGGCTCAGCCTAGAGCAACACAGTGCAGGGGTCTTGGCAGCCCAGTCTGAGGCTCCCCACCCTCCCACCCCGAAATGCAGCGTGTGTGAGAGGCCTCCTGTAAACAGCAGCTGCTAGACTCTGATTATAAATTTGGGCCTAGCTAACCACAAGGAATCATTTTGATCAGTATATTCCTTCTTGGAGTCAAGAATGTCAACATCTCCTAGCTCAGTGGATTGAGCGCGGGCCTGCGAACCAGAGTATCGCGGTTCGATTCCCAGTCAGGGCACATGCCTGGGTTGCAGGCCAGTTCCCAGCAGGGGACTCACGAGAGGCAATCACGCATTGATGTTTCTCTCCCACTCTTTCTCCTTCCCTTCCCCTCTCTCTAAAAATAAATAAATAAAATATTTTTTAAAAAAAGAATGTCAACATCTTCACAGGGTTGTTATAAGATGTAAACAAATAATGTGAGCAAAACATTTAGAACCCAAGTGGATAATACTATTATTTTATTATTTCTATTTTTATGATCATGTTATAGCTTTTAGGCTCATGAGGCACAAACAGACATACATGTTTTATATCTATTTGACAAATATGTTAAAAAAAAAAAGCACAGGAAAATAGTAATAAATTGTAATTAAACCAGAAAAATATAAAGGATTATATAACAGATTAGCATATTATTGAATTTTGTCATTTTACATTTGATTACTACATTGTTCCTGAAGGATGCTATCTAGCCTCAAAGTTCCAAGTGAAAAAGAAGGGGCCCAACCATGCAAACCATTATCACTGATGCACATTTGATCTCCACCATCATTCCTCACTGCTTGTCTGAAGACTGTTTAAAAGCAATAAAGCAAAAACATCCAAATGTTCTAACTTAAAAATGCATCTATATATTATGCTAAATGAAATAAGTCTGACAGAGAAAGACAAATAGCATATGATTTCACTTATATGTCAAATCTAACAAATAAATAAACAAATAAACAAAACAGAAACAAACTCATAGATACAGAGAACGAACTGATGGTTGCCAGGTGGGCAGGGGTTGAGGGGCTGGGTGAAGAGGTGAAGAAATACAAATTGGCAGTTACAAAATAGTCACAGGGATGTAAAATGCAGTATAGGGAATAAAGTCAATAATATTGTAAAACTGGGTGTGGTGCCAGGAGGGTACTAGACTTATCAGGGTGATCACTCTGTAAGGTATACAAATGTCTAACCACTATGCTGCACACCCGAAACTGTTAAATATTAAATATCAACTGTAATTAAAATTTTAAAAACTTTCTAAATTAAAAAATGCATCCATAAACATTCATATCCTGAGACGAGAAGGAGTTTAAGAAGTCTCTGTGTCCTAGTCCTGCCTCCTGGGTGGGGCACTTAAGAGGATTTTATGGGCTTCCTAAGGAAGAGACAGTACTGAAAGGACTCCCTGAATTAGAGGTAGGATTGCTGACTCATGAGGAGCCCCCTAGAAGCCTCCCCAGGAGATAATACTCTGTGATCCAGCCTCAGAACACTGTGGGTGGGACTCCCCTGCAGGAGCTAGGCCCTCTCCTTCCTACCACCTACCTCTGAGCTTGAACTATCTAGAATGTGGCATAACTGAGATGCTTCTCCCCACCCTCTCCCTCGGGGCTCCTGCACCAGGGCCTCTCTGCCTTCATGCTGTGGTTAGCTGGATTCAGACCCTGAAGAAAACCAAGGCCACTGTTCTTAGAGGAAGCTCTATCTTCCCCAATCTAGGCTCCTGCCATGGCCCTTCTGTCATCACTGCTGCCTAACCCAACCGTGCTGCACACAGAACCACTGCCTCGAAGAGGAAGAAAAAGCTGAACAGCCTTTAAAAACTCCTTGACTCCTTTCACTGAATGGCAACAACCCCTGGATCTTGTATTCATTTACATCCCCAGCCATCGCCTACTGAGTATCTACCATGCTCAGGTACTATGCCAGGCATTGGGCACTTGAATGAGTCGGCCTGCTCACAGTGTATGGAGGGATAGAGTACAGAATAAGGAGGCTGTGAAGGACACCTGATCCAGCTGGAATGCTTTTAGCTTGTGAGATGGAGTCAGCAGGCAGGATTTATGCAGGAATGTGCTGGGATGGACATCTGTGGAAGAAAGGGGTCAAAAACAGATTGGGCAGAGGGAGAAGCTGAGTCAAGACAGTGACACATCCAACAACAGGTTCATCAACACCATGGGACCTCTGAAGTTAAAGTAAACCAGCGGAGTTTTCCTGATATTCAGACCTTTTATACTCCTGCATTGATTAGTCATTTCCATTGGCTACATAAGAAAGGGCATGCATGACCTCTGATGCACCCGTTCGCAAACAGTCCTCTTTATTCTGGACCATCTCTCAGAATAAGTGTTCTACATAACATGTTATTCAGTTCTCCAGTTAAAATGTCCCAATCTCAGAGATCATCTGTGCTCTTTATTTCATGGGGTTGAGAGGATAAGCTAGATAGCTGCTGTGGGTAGGGGTACCACTCAGGCCAAGTCATGAGTCACTGGAGAAAGCCAAGTACCCCAGGTAAAGCCTTAGCTACCCAAGGGCTAGGATCCCACTTTCATTCCTATTCTCAATCTGCTACCACCTTAGAGGTAGGACTTCCTCAGGAATATTCCCAAACTAGCCAGGATGATTTCAGGTAACAAGAATAGAACCTCTGCTCAAACTAGTTCAAGAAAAAAAAGTAGGGTATGGTTCATGTAACTGAAATGTCCAGGGATAGGTATAGCTTTAGAAGAAGCTAGATCCAGGGCTTTACTCTCTTTCCATCTCTCACCTCTGTTTTCCCCTATGTTAGCTGCATTTTTATGCATATTCACTCTTTACACTCGGAAGCTTCAGGCTTACATCCCACCACCTTAGCAATTCCCATTAATAAATATAGAGCTTCTACTGTGCCATATTTCCTATATAATCCTGGATTTGTACCTCACTGGCTTGTCTTGGTGTCACATACCCAGCGCTGAACTGATTGCTATGGCAATCAGATGCATGAAATACACAGATTGTTAAGGTCTTTGACATGTGTTGGGAAGAAGGTGGTGTCACTTTCCCCATACTACATGGCCTGACAGTAGGGAGAGAAATGGTTTCCCAAAGAAAAACCAAGAGCCAACCTTAGGAGGGCAAATGGATGCTGGACTTAGAGAAACATCCCAGGATAACACCCTTCTTTGACACAACTTGTGGGGCCTGTGCTACTTGTAGGGACTCTGCCCCCACTTTTTAGACTGGTAGAAGTGGTAGAAGAGGCCCTGCACTGGGGCCCTTCCCCTCTCTGACCATGTCTAGTATAGCTAGCTCTCTACAACTCACATCCCTCATTGCCAAAATGGTTGTCTATCCTGCTGCAGTGAAGAAATGTCCAAAGTGGATATGGATAGGAGCTGACTACATAAAGACCACATGGATACTTCCAGTTCCTTGCTGGGCAATTTACTTTCAAGTATCCATACAATGGATTTGGTACTGGGGATAAGGGAAGCAGTCAGAATGAGAAAGAAACGTAAATATGATGAAAAGCTAAAAACATGTGCTAGTCATTAATTTCAACTTCTTCCACAATCAATCATCTCTGACAGGGAGGAAATCCAGCTGGCTGAAGTCTCACAGACTCATAGATGATATGGGGCTGAGAAGGGACCTTAGAGACTTCCTGCCCAAACTTCCACTCTCAGCTGGCTCCCCAAAGGGGGTTTGAACACCCCCAGTGACATAGGGCTCACCACCACAAAAAGCAACCTTTTTAATAACCAGGCAGCCTATCTTAAGCCAAAATCTACCACCCAGAAACTCCCTGGTTCTGCCCCCAGGAACCACCAGCATGATATGAGCCCTCTAGACTTGCACTAGTGTTCCCCACCCACCGCTGATGCAGGCGCTGCCGGGACAGAAATAAAGAGTGGCAGCCAAGCCTATACTTGTGAATGTGATTTAGGTTTTATTACCATGGCCAAGAGCCTTCCTGAAACACTGATTAAGGACCAGAACCCAAAAGAGACCTTTGGCTCTTCCCACCTTCTATTCACTACTGACAATTTGAATCTTGATAGGTCTCTTAGAATCTGATTCTACTCTGACTTTCCAACTCGACATCACATGCTCTTGGGTCTGTGCTGGCATCACTGAATTTTATCTTGTCTTGATCTGCAGTTACAGTCTCCTGACAGCTTTGGACCATCCTCTGCTCCAGAGCACCAGTACTGTCTGACTACAGGCTTCCTCTGGCCCACTGGTGCCTTTGAATGAATCTGAAGGCTCCCATTCTGGACAGACACAACTGTGCCAGGACATGTGGTTTAGTGAGGGGAAAGTGAGCAGAACCTTAGTTTTTCCCATATGCTTTACCCTTGAGCAATGACCAGCCTCCACAATGGTGAGCAGCAACCCTGATGGCATCTGCCTGGTAGGTACTGACCACACAGTAGCACACTTGCTCCACAGGGCCTGCCAGAACCAAGGGCTGACCTCCCCACTGCCTTCTTTCACGGTCTGAGCTGACCAAGACTGTAATGGTCCTGAGGGCTGAATCAGGTCATAATACTCACTGTGTTCAATGAATGCTCACCAAATGAGAAGATGAGTGGCAGGAAGGAAAAAGAAA